GGTGCAGCTTCGCCTCCCTCCCTACAACGCCCCCCCCGTACCCTCTCCTCTGCCACTCCTGCCTGCCCAAGCGGGCTGAAAAAAGGCCCCACCAGGACCTGGTTGGGATCCCTCTCTGATATCACAGCTTACATCAGAGTGTGAAGACTTTTAATCCAGGGGAAATGCGAGCAGAGGGGACAAGCTGAAGGCAACTCGGGTGACCTCTCTGAGCAACACAGCAAAACGTCAGGCAAAGGATCTAATCATAGAGCTGGGCACAGAGCTAGAGTATCCTGGTTCCAGCTTTTGCACCGATTCACCAGCCCCCAGTTCACCTCCCTTCAGCTGGGACAGGACGCAGGAATCCCGATGCTCCTCTCGCCCCCAGTGCTCCCTGGTCCCAGGAGCTGCCCTGCTGATGCTGAGCCCCGCTGCCAGCAGAGGGAGGCTGCACCCACAGCAGCTCCCCCCCTCCACCCGCTCCCACCCTGCCTGCCCACCGCCCAAGGAGATGTGAGGCACTGGCCAGAATCAGCCTGGAGCAAAGTCACTGTGCCACGTCCCGGTGGGTCGTCGGACGGGTAAGACTAAGGAAACCCACTGCACAGAAACTGCCAGACTTGGCTCTGAATTGGCAGCTCTGTTCGCTGCAGCCCCTACAAAACCCCATCCACTCTGTGCAGAATCAATGCCCGCCCTGACCGGTGGCCCCTCTTACCTGAATACTGCTGCTGCATCTGTGGTGGGCTGCAGGGTGATGGGGACTGTGGCATCTGATACTGTTCAGAGCCAGGTGGCTGAAGGAACCCCACCGAAGGGCTGTGAAGCAGAGAGTGCTCTGGTGAGGTGCTGGGGATGGGGAGAAACAGCCTGTCCATCTGTGCAGGCAGCCACCAGCTCCCTCAGTACTTGACGTGGCTGGAAACACAGCTGCCTCTGGAGGAGCACAGGAAGCACCACATGCTGCAGGCAGGACAGCTGTGCCCAGGAAGCACTGACTATGGGAGCTAGGACTGGGCAAGCTCAAGAGATGACCACCATCTATGGTGCCCAGCCACCTCCTCTAGCTGCAGAAGTAGGATGCTATGCCCTTTCAGTAGGGCAGCAGGACCCCTTTCTCCCCAAGACAGGACAGAGATACAGCAGCTTTACCTTGTGCCGTTCTGCTGGGCGGTTGGGATGACGCTGTAGTAGATGGGTACCCCTCCAGCCTGAAGCCCCCCCTGAACAGACTGGCTGGCTGGTACAAGCACTGGCTGCTGGAAGGGCTGCTGGACCACGCTCTGGGACTCATTGGCCACAGGAACCTGTGCAGGGAAGAAAGCAGCAGCCCTACCGAGTGACAGGAGTAGGGAGAACTGGCCCCAAAGAGACACCGGCGAGCTCCATACAAGCCAGAAGAGATGGCAGATAGCTGTCTTCTGCAGCCCAGAGCAATCTTGCCCAGGCAAGGGCAGCCCCTCCCAGCTCTTCTGCAAACACACTGGCGAAGTGACCGGCGGCACTCAGTCCTTCTTCTCAAGAGGTCCCATACAGATTCGAATGCGGATGTGCCCTCCCCATGCTGGCAAGCATGCACTACATTCGCAAGCTGAGTAAGCCTCCACCTTTGGCTCCATCACTCGAGGCCTGCACAACCCAGGCCCCCTCCCCAGCAGCCACTCATCAGAGAGCAACTGATGCCTACCTGGTACGAAGGCAGTGGAGTGTACTGGACCATCAGGCCTTGCATCTGGCTCCCCATACTGCTCCTCTGGCTGCTGAGAAGGCCAGGGGGCTGCGCCTGCTGCACTCCCATCATACTCTGCATCTGGCCCCCAATGCCGTTCCTCTGGCTGTTGAGGAGCCCGGGGGGCTGTGCCTGCTGCACTCCCATTACACCTTGGTATGTTTGCTGCTGGTTGGACATCATTGGCTGTAAACCTGTCAGAACAGTGTTTAAATGCAGCAGCTTCCCAGCTGGCCACAGAGAACAGCCTGAGACTTGGCATATGAGGACTCAAATCCTGCTTTGCCCTCATCTCTTGCTGAACACTAGGAAAAAGGCTTCCCTTACAGCAGATGTAAAAACACCTGAAGGAAGCTCCTGGCTTTAAATCCACCGTGCAGCACCTCATTGCACGCTACATGCTGAGAGGGAGGGAAAAGACTAAAACAGCCTTTGCAGCCAGGCCAAGTTTCAACTTTCCTTTGCACAGTCAAGAGGCATTCTATAGTCAGCAAATCCAGCACAGAGTAGGAGACAGGGAAGAGCAGCCTGGTCCCAGACAGTGCCTGGGAGACCTTTAAGAGCCAACAAGAGTGGCAGGAAAGGGAAACATGCCCCCTACCCCCTTCTTTGCCCCCTTACCAGGCTGCTGGGACTGCTGGGGGAGCTGCTGAGTGCGCTGGGAGCTGTAGGCCACTGGGTGACTGAGAGATCGGTATTGCTGGCTGGAGTTCGGGTACTGCCCAGGAGGGTAGTAAGAAACCTGAATCTATCAGAATCAAGAAAACACGGCGATGAGAACACAAGAGGGAGTGGGACCAAGAAAGCTGGTCCCTCAGGACCAGTTTTCTCTCTCACCTGGCCTGGCTTCTGCCGAAGGAAACCAACCAGGGCTTTGGCTCTGGCCAGATGATAGCTCCTCAGGGAACTGCAGCCCCTTCCCGCTCCTCCCAGCCTCCACATCCAAGCCTTTCCCAGCACAGTAGTGCAAGAGCACAGTAGGCACAATTCTCATCACAGCTCAGGGGAACAATCCTAGAGGTCATAATGCCCTGCAGGACCCCAAAGAGAGCTTAGAGGTGTCAGCCCTGAATCTAGTCACTGTCCCTCTCCCAACACTATCGGCCAGGAATGGCCAGAGGGCTCCCCAGACGAGTGCCTTGTGAGCTCAGAGGGACAAGGGAGCAGAGATTATCCTGTGCCTAGCAAGGGCGTGTGCCGACCCGGAGTTTGGACCCCTGTGTATTGATCCATCACAAATGAGCAGCAGAAAAAGAGGGGACCCACTCTCAAGCAACTGTTCTCTGGACTGCTCCCCCGCAGCCCCTCGCCTGACAGCTTTGGGCCGAGCTGCAGCACATCCCCTCCAGGCTTGCGCATGTCCTTACTTGCTGGGGAGGCTGAATGTAGCCCTGGGGCTGCAGCACCTGCTGTGTGGGGGCTGTGTGCCCTGAGGCGGAGTAGTTGGAGGTGGGAATGGGCTGCCCAGGGGTTGCCATGATGAATCCTGTCTGCTGAGGATGCTGGGTGATGAGGGATGACTGGAACATAGCTGAGGAAGGATCCGGTGCTTCTGTAGAGCCCTGTCGGCTGAGGCTGATCTGCCCAAAGGGGTTGCTGAGTTCATCGGCCTGCATTGGGGATAAGTAGGAAGAATGGAGGAGGACAGCATGTAGGAAAACAGCATGTAGGACATAGCTCTGCTGAGTAGATTGCAGACCCCTCCTCCCTACTCTGTGTGGAGGAGCTCACCCAAGAAAGGTCCCCAAAAATGAGCCACAGACCAAGAGCATTCTGCAGGACGAGGTAGGGGCATGCGAGCTGCTGGGGCGGGGGCAAATGCTCAGCAGACACTAGTAATATGTGGGGCCCTACACAGGCAGGGGTGGCCCCAGCCCAGAGGCCATGTCCCATGGGGTGCGCCATTCCCGAAAGACCCAGCGGAGACAACACAGGGGCTGACTGAGACCACCGGGCAGCCATGGCCCCTGGACCCCAGTGCTGGGCACAAGCATTGTTTCCTGGTGGAGCTCTGGGCTTGGCACTTGCTCTTCCCCAGGCTCTTTCCAAGATCAGACACTCCAGCAGTGCCCGGCCCTGGTGGGTCCCACAGCCTCAGGCACCCCACTGCAGCGCAGAGCCTCCATGAATCCCAAACCCACTGGGTGCAGTGTCCATGACATACCTGATTAGCAAAAGCTCATATAACACAAACACAGCACATGAGTACAACAGAGACAGTGCAGAAGAGGAAATGGGGTTTATACCAAGTTGTACTGCTGGGGTGGAGAGACTGGCAAGAGGACTTGGGGGCAGGAGCTTGGAGAATACTGAACAGGCTGCAGCGCTGGGACCGGCTAAGACCAGCAGAGAAGGGAGCGGAGGAGAGAGATTGGGTGGGAAAAGGGTAGGGGTGGGGAAGGAAGGATAGGAGGAAGGAGAGAAAGAAGGAACAACAAGGTTAGTCAACTGAGCCAACTGCAAACACACAGAGGGGGGCATTGCAGAGGGTTGGAAAGCACAGAGACCAGAACGGGGCAGCATTCGTCTCTCTGTAAGGACACACAGCCCAGCCAGTCGCTTTGTGGAAGCCGGGAAGGCTGACCACATCTGCAAAACAGCTCCTGCCTGGCATGAACAGTGACCCAAGTTCACAAAGGCCAGCTACGGCCAACAGCAGGAAGAGAGCCCCTTCTGGCCAGCACAACCTTTCTGTCTCTCCCACGCTACTGCCTACTGGTGTGTGGCACCGACTCCCAGCTCCCTCCGCAGCGCTCCTTGGCCTTCCCTGCAGGTAATGTCTTCTCTTCACTCTTGCCCTCTGTAGGGGCCCCTCTCACTTTGGCACTAGGAGGACCTGCTGATGCCTTTTTATGACAACACCTAACTCAAGCACCACATGCTGTGCTTTGGGCACCAAACCTCTAATGTTCAGCACCGGATTGTTTTTTTGATAATTTGATTTGACCTTGGGTGAAACAGAAGGTGCACACACATGGAGGACAGTGCATTTTCAGATCTTTCACCAACAGTCAAACAATTGAAAAAAGTTTTTCCACAACCTAAACCATTAGAACAGCCAAATAGTAGAAGATACAAAATAAAACCCCAGCAAGACACGGGGATCCTGCACAAGCTCCAGAAGCCTGCTGTGTGTTCAAACCTCCCACCCAGGCCACTATGCTCTGTCCCATGCCGTGCTACAGCTCCAGACAGACGCTCCTGCTAGCCTTAGTGCTAGACCCTGGCTGCCTCAGGGAGACATCTTATCTGTAGAACTGAGATGTTTCCCTTGAGTTTCAGTATCCTCTGCAAACAGATCCACAACCCTGGAGCCAGGCCAGGGTCCAAGAACTACAAGCTCCCCCCATCCTCCTACAGACGGCAACAGATAGCAAGGAGCTGTTCATATATTTGCAGTAAAAGCTGTTCAAGGAGGTTTGTTTCCTCCTCCCATCCCAGCCCACTGAGAACACCTAGAATCACAGAACAGCCCAGGTTGGAAGGGACCTCAGAAGATCATCTGGTCCAACCCTTCATGGGAAAGGGAGCCTAGATAAAATTATCTAGCACCCTCCCTGTGCAGTTGCATCTAGAAAACCTCCAGTGTAACTTGCAGTTCTTTGCCGTAGCAGACATCATACGCATAAGCTGATGCACCAGCAAGGATCCCCACAAAACTCATAGGCAGGCTGTGGTCCAGCACTGACACGCTGCTCTGAATAGGGCAGGGTAGGAAGGTACTGAGGATACTTCCCATGCACACAGCCAAGCTCCGCGCCCACTGAACACGAGGCAGCTTTGCTCTCCAAACGTGCCCACCAGGGCTGGCTCCCACCCCTTCCCCAGTCCTGCAGTGATACAGGGGCAGCTCTTGTGCTATGGTTTTTTACAGCCTCAGGGGCAGAACAAAGTATGCAGAGTGCTTTCCAGAGGGCTCCATCCTCAGAAATAGCCCTGCAGGTTGTGGAACATCACTTGAGTTTAACTCACGGAGGATCTGGAAAATACACCCAGGCACAGTTCCAGGTCGGCCTCTCCCCAGGACATCAGGTGACCAGCCACAGGATTTCAGCACTGGGGAGCTCAGACCCAACTACCGTTTGTCCAGTCCCCTCACCAGGAGGGCAACTGGTTTCAGAACACCTGCCCCTCAGCAAAGGGTTATAGATCTCTTGCCAGGAGGGCTGCTGGCCCAAGCCGATACAGAAGAGGCTGGCATGTTGAGATGTCACACAGCATCATATTCAAGCACAGCAAGGCCTCCAACCCTCTCCTGCTCTCTGCCAATAGCACAGAGGGATTGTCACTCCCTAACAGGCAGCAAGTGTGAGGACACCAAAAATCCAGTGGGCAAGCGTGAGTCCAGAGCACCCCGGGTGTTATGTCAGCTCTGCTTTTACCTCCCACCTGTGTGCCCAAGGAGCTTACCGAGCCCTGGATACTGCGCAACAACTCACCTGGGATATCATGTGGTTACTCATGGCTGGCTGCTGCTGGGCTGCAGGTGGAAGTCCTTGGGGCTGGGGTGGTGGCTGTTGGGGTGGCTGCGGTTGAGGCTGCTGGGCTGTGCAGGGTAGAAGGCCACGGCTGGGCTGTGCAGAAGGGGATTGGCTGCATGCTTCAGGGGCACCTAGTACCAAACCTTGAACAGAGAAAGGCATGGCCGGGTTGGTACCTGGGAGAGAAAAACATTAATTCTTTGATGGGGAGGGCAGGGGGTAGATCCTGTCACTACCTCCTGTACCGCAGCCAGATTGCATTCTCTGCTGTCCACATGGAAGCTTCCACGGGGGACAGGGTGAGCAGGCTGCAAAGTCACTAGTTTGCCTCTGCTTCACAGCAAACCAAGGTGCTGACACCCTCAGGACTCCAGGTGATTGTACCCCTCTCCTCTCCTTGTCTGTGTACACGCACTGACCCTCCACAGCTGGTCACAGAATCTTCTTCTCCCTCTGCCCTGTGCACGCTCTGCCCCACACAGGGAAGACCAGGATGCAATTCTTGTTCCAGGAGTTGTACAGCTGTTATTCCCAAGAGTGTGCTGTCTTCCCTGATCCCAGCCTAGCACACCCACTTCAAGCGGACAGCCTACAGGGCGGTTCCCCCCCACAGCTCTCAGGTCGTTGCTGTTTGTGTAAACCTTCAACACTACTCAGAACTGCGGGAAATTAAAAGGCCAATGCCAGGCTCACGTGATGAATCTAGCTGGCCTCTGCCCACAGGACAGTGCATGCTTGGTGCAGGTGCTGGCAGGATTGGCACGGGATAGTAAAAAACACCTGTGTTGCGATTGATTCTTTGGAGGGATGTGCCCTGTGTTTGGCCTGGAAAGGACCAGGCGCAAGTCAGGGTATTCTATAAACGCCATGGGCCTTCTGCTGGGAAGAGGAATCTGGCTGTTAACAGCAGCACCTGCCTGGTGCGGGGGTCTCCATCCCAGCATAAGGCAGAGATTACAAAAAGAGGGAGCTGCCAGATACACTCATGTCAGCTCAGTACCATAAGCCAGTCTGTGGAAAGAAGCTGGAGAACTGTTCCCAGTCACAGCTCAGTTCTGCAGCTGTGCATGGCCCCTGCTCGGACACTAATACATCGTCATGATCTGTCTGAGTGCTTGCCCAGCACACAGAGGGGAGTGAGGGAATCCTATTTTATGGCCACATAGACCCAGCACACGTACATCTTTTGAGTAAAAGGCTAGGGGGTGGCAGGCTGAAAGCAATTCATTCCCATGGTAGGAAAAATTGTCAGGAAGGAGTGTGATACATGCTGCAGGGCACGCAGCTGGGAAGTGCTCTCCTCAGTATTTCAGTCTTACTTCCAGAAATAAAAGGGATGTGAAAATATTGCTTGATGCCCAGTAGCGGCTATTTAATTAATTCTTCCTCTGATCTACTGCATTTCAACAGCCAATCTTCAGGCATTCTGCTAAGGAGGTCTGTATCACCAGCCACAGGGTGCAAAGAAGGAAATATTTTGCTGACAGCTGCCCAGGGG